AAGATACACGTCACTCCACCAGAAGATATACGTCACAGTACACAAAGAAACACGTCACACCACACGAAGATACACCTAACACTACACCAAGATACACGTCACACTACAAGAAGATACACGTCACGCTACACCAAGATACATGTCACACTATCAGAAGATACACGCCACACTACACCAAGATACACGTCACACTATATGAAGATACACGTCACAATACACCAAGATACACGCCACACTACACCAAGATACACGCCACACTACACGAATATACACCTCACACTACACGAAGATACATGTCACACTACACGAATATACACCTCACACTACAAGAAGATAAACGCCACACTACAAGAAGATACACGCCACACTACACGAAGATACATGTCACACTACACCAAGATACACGACACACTATACGAAGATACACGTCAAACTACCAAAAGATTAACGACACGCTACACGAAGATACACTACACGAATTTACACGTCACACTACACGAAGTTACACGTCACACTACACGAAGATACGCGTCACACTACACGAAGATACGCGTCACGTTACACGTAGATACACGTCACACTACACGAAGATACACGCCACACTACACGAAGTTACACGCCACACTACACAAAGATACGCGTCACACTACAAGAAGATACACGCCACACTACACGAAGATACGCGTCACACTACACGAAGATACACGTCACACTACACGAAGTTACACGTCACACTACACAAAGATACACGCCACACTACACGAAGATACGCGTCACACTACACGAAGTTACACGCCACACCACACGAAGTTACACGTCACACTACACGAAGATACACGCCACACTACACGAAGATACGCGTCACACTACACGAAGATACACGTCACACTACACGAAGTTACACGTCACACTACACGAAGATACACGCCACACTACACGAAGATACGCGTCACACTACACGAAGATACACGCCACACTACACGAGGTTACACGTCACACTACACGAAGATACACGCCACACTACACGAAGATACGCGTCACACTACCAGAAGACACACGCCACACTACACCAAGATACACGACACACTACACGAAGACACACGCCACACTACACGAAGTTACACGCCACACTACACGAAGATACACGCCACACTACACGAAGTTACACTACACGAAGATACACGTCACACTACAAGAAGATACACGCCACACTACACGAATAAACGCGTCACGTTACACGAAGATACACATCACACTACACGAAGATACACTACACGAAGATACACTACACGAAGATACACGTCACACTACACGAAGATACACGCCACACTACACGAAGTTACACGTCACACTACACGAAGATACACGCCACACTACACGAAGTTACACGTCACACTACACGAAGATATGCGTCACGTTACACGAAGATACACGTCACACTACACGAAGATACACTTCACGAATATACACGCCACACTACACGAAGTTACACGCCACACTACACGAAGATACACGTCACACTTCACGAAGATACACGTCACGTTAAACGAAGATACACGTCACACTACTCAAAGATACACGTCACACTACACAAAGATACACGCCACGCTACACAAAGATACCCGTCACGCTATACGAAGATACACGTCACGTTGCACGAAGATACACACCACACTACACATCATGGAAGCTAAATTAAAACAATATCGGGGCGAACCGGAGTTTGAACCCACAACCATAGCTTTCTGGTTTGTCCAAGGGACGCAACTCTGCACAACGATACATATATGAACACTGTACTGTCGGTAATGTAACGTCTTGGCGTTTCTGTGTCTGAATAAAACAAAAGTAGAAATATTGGTTATACAGAATTTACATGACTACAAATATTATTCCCGGCAATGTAAATAAGGAAGTACAGTTTGTATACATTTTTAGCTCCGTCTGTCCAAGATGATACCCATCTCAGTGACGTAGGTGAAGGCGAAGGTAAAATTGGGTTTGACGTCGCGTCCAAGATTATTGCACTTATATAGCGACGTGCATGCACGTGTGTGTGTGTGTGTGTGCGTGGCTGCTTGTACTAGACCGAACTGATGCCGATTTATAGTGCTAGCCCACTGAGATACCATGCCGCAGTTTAACATGAATACCCCACTCAGACACAGTATACTGACTCCGAGCCGACCAGTCCTTGTTTTAGCCCCTTAATGCCGAGCGCCAGACAGGGTAACAACAAGTACCATCTTTTAGCGTCTTTTGGTATGACTCGGCCGGGGATCGAACCCCAGACCTTCCGCTCTCCGGACGGACGCTCTACCACTAGACCACGGAGGCGGTCCAGTGACGTAGGGAGAGAGGTAGGTAGACACATGTATACTATAATATGGTCAGTGTGCTGGGCATTATCGGACTATGTTCATGTAAAAAAGCTGCCACTGAGGACCGGTCATTTAATATAGGGGTGGGTGTGTCAGAAGGAATCGGGGGAGGGTCATCATAAAAATGACAATCTCATGGGGAGGGGCATAAACATAATACACATATTCAGGGAGGGTCATGAAAAAAATGCGTTATATAATAAAATATTAAGTGCTTTTGCATTTTGTCTTTTCGGGGAGGGTCATGAACATATTTTATAGGGACATGGGAGGGTCATCCAAAAATATTACAAGCATAAGGAGAAGATCAATATTTTCTGGACATCAGTGCATCAAAAACGTCTGACACACAGCCCCAAGGCCCCTCCCATGTAATAAATGACCGGTCCCTTATGTAAGCATTTTTTAAATGGGCATGTCTGTTTTAAAATTATATTGCAGGTACATGTTACACCTACTATCGTTTTGTACTCTCGTGGTTATCTTTTATCAAACAAACTTGTGACTGTATTTGGCGAGTGATCAATTACTGTGTTCAAGTTCTGTTGCAAAGCTTCTCGCACCTTTCGCTGGTACATATTTGAAATATTTCGAACGCTGGTTATAGACTTGGGGGATAAGCGAGAGCATCACAGTCCACGATCTGTCGTTAACCTAACTAGGCCGGGGTCGGGGGGTGGTACATAGCCCTTAATTCATGGTACACTGGGAATTGCGACGGGAGTGTTTGTTATGATATGGAATGCCTACCACACCACATAATGACGATAGGCTGGTGTTAGAGGTCACGAGCCTGCTTAGCCAATGAGAATTCAGAAGGATATGCGAGTGCTCGATTCCTTGAATGAAAGAGGATTGACTTTAGTAGGCATTGTTCTCTGGTATATCAGTCACTTACTGTTTACATATTCATAAATAGGACGATCCCATTTCAGTTCTTTCAAACCTTGCATTCTACTGAAATAAATATAACATTACGTCTCTGAAACTACGGGTCCTAGAAACTGTGATTACATGAATCTATACACGATTATACATTTACATGGATTGGCCAGTATATAGTGGTTGTTTTCCCACGCATTTAGCACTGTCATGGAGGGGACGCCGTGAGGATCGTCGCGAATGACTTTCACAATCAGATTCACTGGCGTGACAAATGAACATTGCCCATTGGACTGTACTTAACTGTCTTTTACTGAAAGATAACAGTCTCTACTCATGCTCGTATGTATAGTCACCCATGGATTATATCAACACGCATATATCTAGGGATGACGATAATTGTGAGCATGGTATAAACACTACATTACAGGAAAGATATAAGATACAAACAGAATCTTCATTTCCTTCATGGTTTGTTTGTTTGTCTGGAGTTGGACTTCGCCGACTTGTGTTAATTTTCCATTGTAACTGCGTGTGTTCGGGATATATGTTTGTTTGTTTGCTTGTTTAACGTCGCACTCAGCAATATCTCATGGCAGTCTGTAAATAATCGGACCAGACTTTCCAGTGATTTACATCATGATCATCGATCCACGCAATTGGGATACGATGGATGACATGCATCAACTAAGTCAGCGAGCCTGGCCACCCGATCCCGTTAGTCGCCTCTTACGACAAGCATGGGTTGGGATGTATGTAACATATAGACCGCGGACAGTAAAAGGGGGTCGGGTAGACCCGCGTGTTATAAAGAGGATTCATCACGAGTGTTTTTTAATATTTCCCATATTAAAAAAAACACGAGTGATGAATTCTATTTATCATTTTCACATTTTTGCTTCCAAATTAAGGAATAATTGCATTAAACAATATCATCAGCAACTTGTCGAAATCTTACGTATAGATCGTGCGTAGTGATACATGTTTTCCATAGCCATGAAAACCAAAATAAACAATTCGCTGAGAAAAAAAGTTCCTCGGATTATTTTAAACAAAATACTTGAACAGACTTTTGCAGAATAATTGAAACTTTAATAACGGTAACAACAACGATTCTGTGTAATCTGATTATATCTCTGGTGTAACTTCACTTATAATATATAGTTTCAAATCAAACCGCTCCCTCTTCCGGTTATCTAATTTGCATATCTAATTTGCATACTTATGTCATTGGGGTATGACATACATGTTTTTATGTCATAAGCTTATGTCATGGATAAATGCTTAAGTTAAATGATAAATTTGGATTCGCCCCAGCCCTTATAGTCACTGTCTCGAAGGGTGATGCGAATCGTGAGTAATCACATGGCGTTTTAGCGAAATTCGTGCACATATTCATGGCCCACACCACCCTTCTAGGCGAAAAATGCATTTGGTGTAATAGTGTGTTGTGAAAATAGTCACACACGAGTTGCATCCCCTGGTCTATGAAACGTCACATTATCAACTTTGTAGCTCATCAACTATTACTAACCAAATCCCTAATTTTTTATACAATTTAATTGAGTCAAAGCAGCAATTACATAAATTAAGAATAGAAAGTACATATATTGAGAATAATTATTTAAAAAAAATTTAAATTTTTTTTTATGTAAGGATGAGCTTGAACATACATTCTGTACTCGCAGTGTCCAAAACTTCATTACGAATAAGCATTTTCTGTTAGAGTTATCTTCCCTTGACATGGCTGCGCCCATGATTTGTGCAAATCTTGTGTTTGTATTTTGAGCTTTTATGTGAAGAGGCACATAATTCGGAGAAAATGACGTTAGAGCTTTTTGTTAGAAAAACTCTTGATTTGTTGAATAAGGAAAGAGAAGCAGAAGTTGAAGAAACCAGGTACTTGATTGGTTAATGCCATGTCACTAACAGACTGCACTTATAGTAACATGAAAACAAAACATTTCGATCTTCGGAGCGTCACCTTTATAAGATTGTTATAGAAGTAGATCTACATCCGATTGAGCTGATGTGCCCATCAAATTTGTATCGTTCCCAGTTAAATAGTTTTCGTGTTTTGATTGTGGTGTGAAATGAAAGCCCTGCAGTTGCGTCCCTTAGCCAAGAGAGGATCCGCAGGTTGTCGGTTCGAATCACAAATTTGTCCTCATTATGATCCTTTCTCATGGACTGTTAGTACATTTGGTTACACGGAAGGGGTAAATGCCTTTGACCTACTAAATCCGTAAAAGCTGGCGTTTTTGTAAGGGGGCGCCATTTTGTTTACCAAAATCCGCACCATTGTTTTTGTGTTCGATCTGAAATTTTGATTCAAATTTGGATGACATTCGATGAGATAAAGTATATGTATTTGAAGGTAACGTGATTAAGGAGGAGATAGGTATATAGAGTTTAGAAATAGTTTATGACTTGTAGCCAGTCAGCGTCGGATGTAAAACTGTGCTGTAAACCCTACAGTGCCCATTGCCAGACCCTTCTTACAGAATGATCCGCAACCCCTTGTCGTGACATATAGTAAAACTTATATTAAACGAGGAATGGGTGAGGGAATACGGTAACTGCAGATGGTATTTAGTGTGTTTAATACTAGTCAGATTAATGTATGATGTTCCATTAGGCGTAATATGTGATCTAGTGGATAAAATAGAAGGACAGTGCTTTAGATCCAAACCATGTCATACCATAGAAAAGATGGTACTTGTTGTTACCCTGCCTGGTGCTTGGCATATTAGGATGGTGTTTGTACATTCAGACTACACACAGAAACAAATATAAATAGGGATATATATTTTCTGCTGTGAGGGTTATCTTCCCTTGACATATCATGTGTTTGTATATTGAGCTTTTAAGGGGACTGACCCGTGAAGATTTGGGGTAGAAAAGATCTTCAGCAACCCATGCTTGCCATAAAAGGTAACTATGCTTGTCGTAAGAGGCGACAAACAGGATGAGGTGGTCAGGTTCACTGACGTTGTTGATGCACGTCATCGTATCTCAATTGCGCAGATCGATGCTCATGATGTCAATCACTGGATTGAATGGTCCAGACTCGATTATTTACAGACCACCGACATATAGCTTGAATATTGCTGAGTGGGGCGTTAGACAACAAATGCATTTTGATACTTGCTTCATGGAATCATTACAGGGTGCTAACGGAGAAACTACCACCCAAAGAATTACAGAGACGAGGAGTGTGTTTGCTGAAACTTCGTTTAGCTGGAAGAAATTCAGGTCTCTATGGAAGAACATTAGTGACGTTTGAACCTTTCTGGGCTGGAAAAGATTTCCCTTCACACAATCTCACCCCAGGTATGTGTACATGATAACTTGTTCAGGACGAAAATTACCCTGAGTCTTTTTCAGAAATTACATTTTAATTCAGATTTTCGATTTTACACAAGATTGATATTTTTTGCGCATGGCATGCTATTCATAGTCAACATGGCCTCAGGCTTGTCTCTTCCTACTTCGAACTGCAGGGCCAGAGGGGTCACATGATATATTAGGTTACGTTCATAGATTTGTAACCAAATAAATAAAAAAGTAATATCCTTTTGCCTACCCAAGTCTGTTTGACCTGTGACGATTCTGGGTAAGAATATGGGTCCCCAGCCACCTAGGCCTATCATGTTTGTCATAAGAGGCGACTAAATGGATCAGTGATCATGTTCTGTAACTCAGTTCATTGCATGTCATCGTATCTCAATTGAGTGGATTGATGCTCATGATGTTAGTCACTGGATGGTCTGGTCCAGACTTAAGTATTAACAGACCACCATCATAAAGCTGGAATATTGCTGCATGTGTCATAAAAAAAACAAAAAACAAATTCAGTCAGTTAATAAAAAAAGAGAGACAAGAATATTGTTTTTAACCAGCCTCATATTTAAACACTTTCAAACCTTTAACTTTAAGGTAAACGGTTGCTATTTCAGGTGATATCATCGGTCTGACTTTATCCCAGGGAGAAACTCAGAATGAAGCACTGGCTTCTGGTATTGTGTCAAAGGTGGGACAGTCACAGATAAGCATTGCTTTTGATGAGACACACGACATCTTCAGTCTTGATGATGAAGTCCAGTACAAGCTCACCAAGCTTGCCAATGATGTGACCTACAGGCGCCTCAAGAGGTGGGTAGCTGCTAGGGTTGCATGGTATCACCAGTATACAGGTATACTGCAATACCCTTTGATACCATACATGCACATACGCATGTCGCTATATATGTACAATTTACTTGTATGTGACATAAACCCCATTTCACCTCACCTAACTGCTTGTGGCACAGTGCTGTGGCTGATGGTGTGTCATCATACCCTAATCAAATACGTTGTTGCTTAACCTGTGAAGATCCGGGGTAGGATAGCTCTTCAGCAACCCATACTTGCTGTAAAAGGCAAACATGCTTGTTGTAAGAGGCGACTTACGGGATTGGGTGGTCAGGATCGTTGACTTGGTTTATGCATGTCATTGTATCTCAATTGAGTGAACCGCCATGATATCGCTGGAATATTGCTGAGTGCGGCGTTAAACAACAAACCAACCAACAACCAACTCAATTGAGTGGATCGATGCTCATGATGTCAATCACTGGATTGTCTGGTCCAGACTTGATTATTTACAGGCTGCCGTCATACATCTGGAATATTGCTGAGTGTGGCGTTAAACAACAAACAAGCAAAACATTGTTACTTGTGGTACCAACCACTAGTATTGTTCTGACTATTATGGGTTGTAATATTTTGGTTATATATATTACTGCAGACAACTGTATTGCAATATTCCTAAACTCACTCTTGATCATCAAGAATTGTTTTTTTCCAGAGCACTGAATGACCTGAACAACTACTCCAGTGGCCGAGCATCCTGTCTTGTCAATGTTCTGTTTGGCGTTTCAGAGTTGTCTCCCCCTACTGACCCAACAGGTTTGAAAATATTAATAATTTGTGGAGTTTTTTTTCAACATGCCAATATAACATTTGGAAGAAATGTTTCAAGATATCTCCTGAAAAATATTTATCTAATTCTGGTTGTGGCACCTAATGCTTTATATCCTGTCATCAGTATGTCATCAGTATATCATCAGTATGTCCTGTCATCAGTATGTCATCAGTCTATCCTGTCATCAGTATACCCTGTCATCAGTCTATCCTGTCATCAGTGTGCCCTGTCATCAGTATGTCATCAGTGAGCCCTGTCATCAGTATGTCATCAGTCTATCCTGTTATCAGTATGCCCTGTCATCAGTCTATCCTGTCATCAGTGTGTCATCAGTATGTCCTGTCATCAGTGTGTCATCAGTCTATCCTGTTATCAGTATGCCCTGTCATCAGTATGTCATCAGTATGCCCTGTCATCAGTGTGCCCTGTCATCAGTGTATCATCAGTATGTCATCAGTGTGCCCTGTCATCAGTATGTCATCAGTGAGCCCTGTCATCAGTATGTCATCAGTCTATCCTGTCATCAGTATGCCCTGTCATCAGTGTGTCATCAGTATGCCCTGTCATCAGTGTGTCATCAGTGAGCCCTGTCATCAGTATGTCATCAGTCTATCCTGTTATCAGTATGCCCTGTCATCAGTCTATCCTGTCATCAGTGTGTCATCAGTATGTCCTGTCATCAGTGTGTCATCAGTCTATCCTGTCATCAGTGTGTCATCAGTATGTCCTGTCATCAGTCTATCCTGTCATCAGTGTGTCATCAGTATGTCCTGTCATCAGTATGTCATCAGTCTATCATGTCATCAGTGTGTTATCAGTATGTCCTGTCATCAGTCTATCCTGTCATCAGTATACCCTGTCATCGGTATGCCCTGTCATCAGTGTGCCCTGTCATCAGTATGTCATCAGTGAGCCCTGTCATCAGTATGTCATCACTCTATCCTGTCATCAGTATACCCTGTCATCAGTGTGTCATCAGTCTATCCTGTCATCAGTATACCCTGTCATCAGTATGCCCTGTCATCAGTGTGTCATCAGTATGCCCTGTCATCAGTGTGTCATCAGTATGCCCTGTCATCAGTATGTCATCAGTCTATCCTGTTATCAGTATACCCTGTCATCAGTCTATCCTGTCATCAGTGTGTCATCAGTATGTCCTGTCATCAGTCTATCCTGTCATCAGTGTGTCATCAGTCTATCCTGTCATCAGTGTGTCATCAGTCTATCCTGTCATCAGTGTGTCATCAGTATGTCCTGTCATCAGTATGTCATCAGTCTATGTCATCAGTGTGTCATCAGTATGCCCTGTCATCAGTGTGTCATCAGTCTATCCTGTCATCAGTGTGTCATCAGTATGTCCTGTCATCAGTGTGTCATCAGTCTATCCTGTCATCAGTGTGTCATCAGTCTATCCTGTCATCAGTGTGTCATCAGTATGCCCTGTCATCAGTATGTCATCAGTCTATCCTGTTATCAGTATACCCTGTCATCAGTCTATCCTGTCATCAGTATGTCATCAGTCTATCCTGTCATCAGTATGTCATCAGTCTATCCTGTCATCAGTGTGTCATCAGGATGTCCTGTCATCAGTCTATCCTGTCATCAGTGTGTCATCAGTCTATCCTGTCATCAGTGTGTCATCAGTATGTCCTGTCATCAGTATGTCATCAGTCTATCATGTCATCAGTGTGTCATCAGTATGTCCTGTCATCAGTGTGTCATCAGTCTATCCTGTCATCAGTGTGTCATCAGTATGCCCTGTCATCAGTATGTCATCAGTCTATCCTGTTATCAGTATGCCCTGTCATCAGTCTATCCTGTCATCAGTCTATCCTGTCATCAGTGTGTCATCAGTATGCCCTGTCATCAGTATGTCATCAGTCTATCCTGTTATCAGTGTGCCCTGTCATCAGTCTATCCTGTCATCAGTGTGTCATCAGTATGTCATCAGTCTATCCTGTCATCAGTGTGTCATCAGTATGTCATCAGTCTATCCTGTTATCAGTATGCCCTGTCATCAGTCTATCCTGTCATCAGTGTGTCATCAGTCTATCCTGTCATGAAACTTTGAAACTTCATGTTTTTCCAGACATCAAGTATGTGAATGAGTCCTTGGATACCTCTCAGAGAGAGGCTGTAGAGTTTGCACTGCGACAGCGTGAACTGTCAGTGATCCATGGTCCCCCTGGGACGGGGAAGACGACCACGGTGGTGGAGATCATCCTCCAGGCAGTCAGGAGGGGCATGAAGGTACACACAGTTCCCTTTGTTCCAGTTTGCACGCTATACCCATGGATTACTGTAAATCGTGAAATTAATGCGTCTTTAAAAGAATGTGACCGTTTTCCCCTAGCTAGAATGCGACAACCCCCTCTTCTCAAGAATCAGTGGATTTATATCTAAAGAAAATATCCTCTGTCAGGTTTACAGGAGAATCCTCACCTTAATCCAATCACACCAAATAGCACCGCTTAGTAGCCATTAGGAGAGTACTACTGACCCCAGCAGTGACAATTCACAGGCTGTAATTAGTGTTTGTATGACATTCTTTATATACTTGTTACAAGTGCTGCTTAATAAACAGTTATGTGGAATAGATAGTTGTTTGTTTTCAGCGTATGTCTAAGTAGGTATTTCTGCTATCCAAAATGTCTTATTGTTGATATAAATGCGATGTTTAATAATGCGAGCAAAGACCACTCGCATTTTTTGCATTTAATTCACGCTCGCGTTATTTTTAAGATTTACAGTATCCAGGATTGTAAACTAACTGCCCATGGGGAAAAAAATTCAATGCATTAATATAAATCTAAGCATGAAGCCTCTTTCTCTTCACTTGGCCTATCAGTGAAATACAAGCAGCGATACAAATCTATAACATTAGTTATACTGTATTAGCACAAACTAGGAAAGGGTTTATTCCAATTTGGTACTTCAGACTTGGGGCTAGTCCTGCACCATGACTGTTGAATATATTTATTTTATGAAAAAATAATAATCTAGAAATGCATACAAAAGCAAGTCTAGCCAGCTCAAGCTAGCTCTATTCCATCAGCATAGGGAATTTTTTTAATTTTTAGAGTCAAGAAGGATATTGTGTAATATAAAATTTCAGAGACTAAATGTTAGTCTAACTTGGGGCCTGTGACTAGATGAATCCCTTATGCCATGTATACTATATCTGCATCTGTTAAGAGAAGACTAAGCATTCAGAAAATGTCAGAAATTTGACAAATTTCATATTATTTATTTACATATTCAGTTCATTGGAAGGCCTTTTGTGTATTTAGGTGGTGGCATGTGCTCCGTCTAACGTTGCTGTCGACAATCTGGTCGAGCGTCTGTCCCATCATCTACAAAAGATTTTGAGGATCGGCCACCCTGCCCGTCTGCTCCCGCATATTCAGAAGTACTCCCTCGATGCCATCGTCTCTGGAAGTGACGAGAATAAACTGGTGCACGATGTTCGGCGAGACCTTGACAAGGCCATTGTGAGTGACCTTACGACAGTTACTATACAACAACAGTGATGTTCTTGTTAACTTTACTGCTTATGAAGCGCAATGAAGTTACTGAACTAGCCACGCCAGTGTAGTGAAGAGATTCTAGTCATATATGTTCAAGCTATGCCATATACTGTACTTGTGTATTTGCTAGTTGATTTCACTTTGTGTTTGTATTATTGGGAGGTGAGGTGAATTGGGGTTAACGTCGCGCTCAAATATAGCACTTATACAGCGACGTGTGTTCATGTGTGTTTGTGTGTGTGTGGCTACTTCGACTAGTCCGGACTAAAGCCGGTTTTATAGCCCACTGAGATACTATGCCACAGTTACACATGGTTTTCCCAATCAGATACAGTAAACCAACTCCAAGACGACCAGTTCATTTGTTATGCTCTGTTCGTTTCCCTGAATTCGCTGAAGGGATTTGATGTAAAAAAAATTCTGAGGAAGACAAACAAGTTTTTATTGCAAATGTAGGGATTGTGTATGCACTGGTGACGTGCTTCATTCCGATTCGCTTTATAGACGGGGTATATAAATTAGTGTCGATTTTGAAGGCTTGCACAGGGGTCGTCTTATATGTGGGGTCGCTTTATAGACGGTGATATATGGTATGCTAACTCAGAGATGCCAGCCCTTATTTTATCCCCTTAATTCCAAGTGTCAGGTAACAACAGACAGCATCTTTTAGGCTAAAAAAAATAATAGTCTTGGTTCTCAGGCACCGCCCGCATCATCATCAAGTCGGCTGCACGTTTTGTTTTTATTTCCATTTAAAAAAGAATATATAAATCCTAATACTTACAAACAATGCGGGGGGCACAGGTAGCCCAGTCGTCTGAGGTGCCGCGATTCACTGTGCAGAGTTGCGTCCCTTGGGCACCCCGATTATGTTTCTAGGTTTGTCAGCACCATACCCGTGCTCGTGGGTTTCACCGAATTGGTTAACGTCTGAGACCTGCATCACTCCGGGCTTTCCTCCCACATTAAGCTGACACGCCGTGATATAACTAGAATAATGTTAAAAGCGGCGTTAAACCCAACTCACTCACTAAAAACAATGCGATCCAATATAGCACACAGTTACTTCCCTTTTAAATCCGCACTGCTTTACTGCACATCTTGTGTTGTAGTCTTGGCGGCAATAGGAGTTTCTATGCTTATTTATGTAGGGAGGCCCTTTCCCAGGTTGATGGTACACAACTGTTTATTTGGTTATATACTAGTTTGAACAAGCAAACAAAACAACCCACCACCCGCAAGCACTATGTTTTCAAAAGTCATTGCCTGAGAACCAATTCTTTTATATTTTTAAGCCTTAAAGTCTTTTGGTATTTGATTCTGTGTATGTTTCAGTCCAAAGTGAAGCAGACGCGCAACAAGGGAGAGAAGCAGGGTTTGCGGGAGGAGATGCGACATCTCCGCAAGGAGCTGGTCCGGAGGGAGGAGACGGCCACCAGGGAGATACTGCGACGCGCTGATGTTGTCTTGGTGACACTGACTAGTGCCTCTAACGCCGGACCTCTGAGACTTCTGGATGAGGAACACTTTGACCTGGTTGTCATCGATGAATGTTCCCAGGTGACCTTGTCATGCAGTACATATATACTCAGCGTCATTATTGAAGGGTCGCCTAGGATGTCAGGTGAACATGAACATATGCCAAAAAGCTTCAATAGGTCTGAGTAGGTTGACAATGACAACAGTTGAAGAGCATGTTGCCTATATTACACTGATTGGACGCTTTTATGAAATTGGAAAAAAATGATGACTATTAAAAACAATGAAAAGTGCAAGATTGAAGGTGATAGAAAAAGCTACCCAAAACATACGCAACAAGCGGTTTATCCCATGCCCATGCAATGCAAGACAGTTAACAGTCAATGTGGGAATAAACTGGTTCATTCCAGATGTAACTGAACTGCACTCTTGGCAGTTAAAAATGCGACTTTTCTCATATCACTTGCATTTGCTTCAAACAAAATGGCAACACCCAGTCAAGACGATCTGATTGATAATCAACATCTTTATTGCAATAAAACGGGCCTTACCTCGTGAAGTACATCAAATCATTTCAGCACCTTGATAAAAAACATGAAAAGATATGGAAAATATCTGTCGACACCCGTTGACTGTACACACGCTTTGCAAATCCTGCAGTCAACGGAAATCTGCATGTTGAAATCAATGTTGTTTACGAAACCGGATCTCTAGTTTGTTACACGATTACATAATTGGACTACGCATAGACTAGTTAGTCCAGCCAAAATGTAACCCCGAAATTCCAGCCTAGTTCGGCCAGGGTTGAAACTGGTCTTCTACAGTTAGTTAACTCCTTGCCTCAGGAAGATGTGACTGTAGAGGATTTGTATATTCTATGAACCCAAAACCAATCTAGATAATAAGAAAGAAGGTCTGGCCAGCTCTACTCTACAGATATGAAATCAGCATCAGGAAAAAAAAGTCTAGAGGAGAGAAATATGTTCTTCTAAGGTCAGACTGATATACATACTGACAAACAATGAAAACGCACAATCATGTTTCCAAATATCAAACAAGATCTCTTTTTGTGGTTTTTGAGTGGCATTTCGATGTTGGTGTGTTGAACAAGGACAGGGTCTTGAGGATATACAACAGATGTTTCATGTGTCGGCTACATGTGGGACATTATAAGCTGTAACAGGATCACAAGGGGTACACGGGGCTTTATGTGGGACGCATAGAACCCCATGTACCCCTCGTGATCCTGCTACAACGACATGTTTTCATGTGACATTGTAAAAGAATTAACACAAATTCACAATTGATAGAAATAGCTGAGGTTAGCTTGCGCTGTCACGTAACTTTCATTGACTTGGAAAAAGCGTGCAGCTTTTTGCTTGGAAGAAGGGTATAAGGGATTTATTCTGTCTCTCAGAAATCTACAGGCAGCCTGCATTGCTCATGGCGGGGTATAAGAGATTTATTCCCCTGCTGAGAAATTTATTCTCCTCTAAGGTGGGTTACACAGTATTTTATCAAGATCACATGGACCAATCAGATCTCATCATTCTGACATATAGGTATGATAAATGCTGTTGTAGGTGTCCCCAGGCCATGTTAAAGCTGACTCTATTTTTAACTTCTTGGTTTAACTGAAAACTAAATACTCATAATATGCAGGTAGATGCAAGCCCTCAGACACTCTCCCTGATGATTATGTTGATTATGTTTCTCCTAGGCACTTGAGGCTGCGTGTTGGATGGCCCTGCTCCGGGCTCCTCGCTGCGTGTTGGCTGGGGATCACCATCAGCTGCCTCCCACTATACTCTCACATGAGTAAGTCCCCTTCTCTACACTCACGTGGCTACCTGCTTGTGGTATTAAGTGGTTGCACTACAGGGATTTATTGATTAAGCATTATCAATGTTCACCAGTACTATATCAATCAAGGACGGCTTTTGGCGCTACTCTATCACTTACTGGGATACACTGTATCACAATGCTTAGGACCTGTGAACATCCAGGGTAGAATACCGTAGGTCTTCAGCAACCAATGCTTGCCATGAAAGGAGACTATGCTTGTCGTTAGAGGCGACTAACGGGATCGGGTGGTCAGGCTTGCTGACTTGGTTCATGCATGTCATCGTATCCCAATTGTGTGGATTGATGATGCTCCTGAAGTCAATCACTGGATTGTCTGGTCCAGACTCGATTATTTACAGACCGCTGTCATAAAGCTGGAATATTGCTGAGTGCATCTTAAAACAACAAACCAACAAACAAACACAATGCTTAGACTTCCCATCTTAAAATCGATCTTCACTGATCCCTGATCGTCCTTTCAACCTACTGAAACTATTAGGCCCATCGATGCCACATCCCTAATCATTTGTGCTTCAACCAAAGAGCTCACATTTGTTTTGTCATTGTGTCTTTGTAGAATGGAGACAAACATAGTGTGTTTCAATGTAGAAGTTTCAAACTTCCAATCGATACCTGTAAAATTTTCAAATACGAAACGGAACGCAATAAGTATTGAATCTACTTTCGGAACCCCTAAATTGAAAACACGCAAGGTTTATCTCCTAAATGTAAGTCACCATGGTTCTTCAAGGGCAGCAAGGGGTGGCCTAGAGCTGACGCTGATGGAGCGAGTGTTGAAGGAGCAGGGGGAGGAGGTGGTGAGGATGCTGACGACGCAGTACCGTATGAACGAGAACATCATGCAGTGGTCCTCCGACCAGCTATACAATGGTCGACTTATTGCTCACGATTCTGTCAAGACACATCTGCTGAGGTAAGTTCAATAGGCAAGATTTTCTTGATATTTTTTAATGGATTCTGCTGATCCTAAAATAATGAAACAACAAAATCTGAAAGCACTATTTTTTCATTCCACTTACTGCCATGTTTAACACTCAACAATTGTACATACAATATTTTCTCACCCTAGATGCCAAAGGCTCTTCAACCTTCACTGTGAAATAAATAAAACTCAAACTACATCACACACATGAAAGCTCTTCACAGGTTTCGATTGAACAGGACATTTCTATTCTGGGTATCATCATGGTATTGTCAATGTTAATCTGCTGCTTATCACAACATGTCATGCATATATATTTCGCATCACTTGGTTGTCGTCACTCCAGGTTGATAATGGCGTAGGAATCTACATACAAACGTTGCTAAATGCAATAAACCAGAAGTTGTTATCCATAAAGTTAGATATTTTTCCTATTCTCATTTTAGGCAAAGTAAAACTACTTCTGAAAATTAGGTACATGGTAAATATTGCTATTTTCGCCATTTTACAATATCAATCTCATTAAAATCAGATCTTAGTTCTTGCTACTGCAGATCTAAGGACATTCCATCACTCATTGCATCAATGCTAAAATTGTAGAGACCTGCCTGGTGTGAGTGACTGTGAGGAAACCAGTTGTCCCCTGCTGCTGGTGGATACAGCCGGTTGTGACCTGTCTGAACTGGAATTACCTGAAGAAGTGTCCAAGGGAAATGAAGGTGAGATTAATCTCAAGGTAATCATTTGGGGTTAACAATACATATGTTTTTTTTTGTGTCAAGTAATGTTGGTGTTGAAGCTAATTTTGAAGTCTTGAAGATCGATTAAACCATTTTGATGGCATCACACTATTGTTGCAGTTCTTTCAAAGCCAGGAATTCACGCGCCATTTTGAACATGCATTTAATAAGTAGAGCTGATGCAACTATAGCTCAAAATGCAATATGATAGAGAAATTATGTATCAAATTGAATTATCATAAGTCAGAGAAAACCGGAATCCGTACGTAGTATCATCAGATTAGAGTGATTTTTCCAATACATAAGCTGCAAGGTATAACGATTGAATGGTTGTCTGCCCTAAGTGAATTAAGTTTAAACACTAATTCATGAGGAGCTGATAATCTATAATTCGTCATACGTTGTTGATTATTACCTTTATTACTAGTAGTCTGTTTTTCAAAGAAACTTGTTTCCAAATGTTGATTACCCTGTATCACAAGTAGAGACCGATGTTTGGATCGACATCACCCAACATAGTATGTGACACTTATTATGACCGCCTCTGTGGTCTAGTGGTAGAGCGTCCGCCCGGAGAGCGGAAGGTCTGGGGTTCGATCCCAGGCCGCGTCATACCAAAAGACGTTAAAAGATGGTACTTGTTGTTACCTGTCTGGCGCTCGGTATTAAAGGTCTAAAACAAGGACTGGTCGGCTCAGAGTCAGTATACTGTGTCTGAGTGGGGTATTCATGTTAACTGCGGCATCGTATCTCAGTGTGCTCGCGCCATAAATCGGCATCAGTCCGATAGTACAAGCAGCCACACACACACATGCATGCACGTCGCTATATAAGTGCAATAATCTTCACCATTTCACCTCACCTCACCTCACCTCACCTCACCTCTACCTCACCTCCACCTCACCTCACCTCACCTATTATTGCGTTTACTGTAACTTTAATGATTGAAGATGAGAACAGATTTTCTGAAATGGAATTCTTCTGCAAGAGTCATCTGTTTGATTGTATCTGAAACTGCTCTAGATATTTTGAGAAAATAGACTTTTGATTCTCAATAGTCTACCTGAATTTATTGCTAATCTGGGTGCCGGTGTACAAAGCGATCGTAACTCCCATACCTTAACATAGACTTACGACAGTCGTAGAGCTAAGTTTGTTTTGTAAAACAGCACTGATCATGGACAGCGGTGAGATTGGCCTAAACCCAAAAATGTAACATTTTTTCATATCCCACCCCCTCTCACCTCCCTCTCTATAATCATGATAATAAATTAACAGGCGTAAATAATGTTCAATTTTTTTAAAAAACATAAAAAAACATGAAACTCAACCCCCCACCCCTCCCTCCATCCCTTATAATAAATGACCAGTTCCTTAGACATATTTCGTAGACTCTCCAAGTGTTATTAACTTCTATTGAACATCCATCCTGACTGAAACTGTTTCATTTTTGACTACAGGTGAAGCTGATATTGTGGCCTCCCATGTTGAGAAGTTAATCTCTAGTGGTCTGCAACCTGAGAATATTGCAGTTATTGCCCCTTATAACCTTCAGGTAACATTCATGTATTATGCATGTGCTTTGATGGCACATTACACCCTCTCTGTGTGTAGATAGTGGTGAGGGTGAGACATCACTCAGAGGGGCTGGGAAAATATATGTGTACATGTGTACCAGGCTAAACCTTCTCCTGGCCAGTTCTACCACGGTGAGGGGCACGGGTGGCCCAGTCGTCTAAGGCGCCACCATTCGCTGTGCAGAGTTGCATCCCCTGGGCACGCCAGAAACCTATGATTGTGGGTTTCGAATCCTGGTTCGTCCCGATTATGTTTCTAGGTTTGTCAGCACCATACCCGTGCTCGTGGCTTTCCTCCCACATTAAGCTGCCACGCCGTGATATAACTGGAATACTGTTAAAAGTGGTGTTACACCCAACTCACTCATTCACTCTTCCATGGTGAAGATATCGCCAAGGCCAGTTCTTCTCCAGATTGAAAATAGTCAAGGCTACACCTTCAGGGAAGAAATGGCCAGGGGGATGTGTCAACCTGTTATATCGGTACCTGTTACAGCGCGTTACAGTCATTTTATCAGTTGCACGTGTCAGTGTTTGAGGATAGGTGTTTTTGACATTACATGTGCAAACTTTGTGGTTATAACAAAAAGAACCAAATACATCATGTAGATTATACTTCATCAGAAAACCAGTATTGAAGTAAAACTTGGTTATATTCATCTCCAAGGGACCGTTGAAATTTGTTTATTATATCCGTAGTTTGCTACTCATGAAACCTTGTCGGTCATTTTGGATTTAATGAGATAGAGGTGCATGTCATTCACGGTTCAAGAGGTCATAGATGTCTGTGGTACACAAAATCAGATTTACTTCTTGGTATTTTAGTAAATAGTAATTGAATAACGGATAACAAATATTTAGAATTCAATTGAAAGAGTGAGTTATAACCTTTAATTTTTATACAAAACTTGTTATTTGCGTGAATAATATCATGAATATCAGGTAATATATGGTGAAGAGTTGGGACTTCTGAAATAGTTTATGATGATTATGATCGATTATTAACAGGTTGCTGTTGCATAGCTTGAATATTGCTGAGTGCAGTACTCAACAAAAAATACTAAATTATGACAAGCGCCATTTCCCATGTCAATCACTGGTTTGTGTGACTCGATTAATTACAGGCCGCTGTCGTATAGCTGGAGTATTGAATTTGCAACATTGAATGGTAAATGAAACTTCTGTGTGCCGCTGTATAGGTGGAGCTGCTGCGTGTGAGACTGTCGCCAACCTACCCTAAACTGGAGATCAAGTCCGTGGACGGCTTCCAGGGGAGGGAGAAGGAAGCTGTAGTCATCTCCTTCGTCAGAAGTAATTCAAAGGGTAAGGTCACCGTCTACAATGGAAGTGGTGCCAACAGACATTGTTTGGGTTTTAGTTGTAGGAGTTCTGATAATCTAGTTTAGGAGGATCTTTTGTGTAGGTTTATGATAGTAGCGGTTTGCTTGTGGATAAATCCTTTCCCTTAGCTATAACCATGACAATTTGTTTGCCATCCTTGTAACTTAGGTTGAATTCAAAACATGTTCTTCATCATGGCTATGCTTGGGCGATATGGTAGCCTAGTGGTTAAGGCATTTGCTCATCACACCAAAGGCACGGGTTCGATTCCCAACATGGGTACAATGTATGAAGCCTATTTCTGGTGTTCCCCTCTGTGATATTGTGGAATATTGCTAAAACTGGTGTAGTACCAAACTCACTCACTCACCCATGGCTTTCCTCATCCTTTGTTTCTATCTGCACTGTGTCTGACCAACAGGTGAAGTGGGCTTCCTGTCCGAGAATCGTAGAATAAATGTGGCCATCACTCGAGCACGGCGCCATGTCGCAGTGATCTGTGACAGCGAAACGGTCAGCCATGACAAATTCCTCAAGACCCTGGTGGAGTACTTCACAGAGAGGGGCGAAGTCTGGTCAGCCCAGGAATACATTCAAGGTGAGAACAGAGCAACAGGTTTGAAGGTGTCTCAGCTGTTTCAGAAAGTGTCTGTTTGTTTGTTGTTAACACCACTCTCAGCAATATTCCAGCTATATGATGGTGGTCTGTAAATAATTGAGTCTGGACCAGACAATCCAGTGATTGACATCATGAGCATCGATCCACGCAATTGGGATGCAATGACATGCATCAACCAAGCCATAAATCCTGATCACCCGATCCATATGGTAGCATCTCATTGGTTGCCGAGGACCTATATTCTAACCAGGAATCTCCATCGGGGAAATATGTCATGGAACTGATAAATAATATTCATAACATAACCATGTGAGGATTTACATTTGGAGTAGGTCTCCACCATTGCTGGTCTTCAGATGAGATGGTCAGGCCGGGCGATGTGGTTATTTGTCTGACTGTATACTTTGCCGGGACATTCACAAAATCAATCTTTGGGTTGTCTGGTCCAGACTCGATTATGTACAAACGCTGTCGTATAGCTGTAATATTGCTGAGAGCTGCGCTCGACACTAAACAAACAGTAATGAAAGCAGTTATCAAATGCAGGCTTTAAGACTGGTGTGTTCTCTGTGCATGTTTGGGGTGGGTAGCCTAGTGGTTAAAGCGTTCGCTCGTCACGCAGAAGACCCGGGTTCGAATCCCGACATGGGTACAATGTGTGAAGCCCATTTCTGGTGTCCCCCGCCGTGATATTGCTGGAATATTGCTAAAAGCGGCGTAAAACCAAACTCACTCACTCACTCACTCACTCACACGCATGTTCATTTGACTTTAAGAGCAACAGTAAAGTAGGATATTGACTTCTAGATAAGAAGAGTTATTCCCATTTTCTTGAAAACAGCCAGGCTTCCTGATGGTTAGATATAAAATGCCATTTCATGGCTGCAGCATGTGAAAAGAATTGCTTTCTAAGAATTTTTCTGGAATATTGAGAACTGTATTGTCATGGAATCAAGTTTCTATGGAGTTTCATCCTTGTGGGAATACATTCAAGGTGAGAACAGATAAACATATTTATGTCATTATAATCTCATTGGGTGGTTAGCCTAGTGGTTAAAGTGTTCACTTGTCTCATAGATGACCCAGGTTCAGTTCCACAATCGGTGCAATGTGTGAAACTCATGCTTGATGTTGCTCACTTTCATTTTGCTAGAGACCGCCTCCGTGGTCTAATGGTAGAGCGTCCGCCCGGAGAGCGGACGGTCCGGGGTTTGATCCCCAGCCGCGTCATATCAAAAGACGTTAAAAGATGGTACTTGTTGTTACCCCGTCTGGCGCTTGGCATTAAGGGGCTAAAACAAGGACTGGTCGGCTTGGAGTCAGTAAACTGTGTCTGAATGGGGTATTCATGTTAAACTGCGGCATGGTATCTCAGTGTGCTAGCACTATAAATCGAATAGAATCTCACCACCCTGACTTTCATTTTTGTTTTAACAGACGGCAAAGTCACCCACACAAGTTCCCGTCCTGAACAACTGGAGAATCTGTTATCTGTCAAGTCTTCCACCAAGCAGAAATCGGCTAGCAAAGGTGAAGGTCACAAACAGCGTAAAGGTGACAAGGGTCACCAGAAGCAGGTGAAGAAACCAGGTCAAAGGTCAAATGAAGGAGGAGCTAGACCAAAGCAACCAGCTTCTGATGAGGGGTAAGTATGTGGCTGAGAATATCCAGACAATCAGTCTCAAGCAATGGGTGGGGAAAGGGGATCAAGACAAATTGTTCAGCCTTAATATCACAAGTCATCCTTTTGCTTATATATCAAACATTATATCATAATTCCATAGAATATACTTTGAATGAGAAATTAAGTTCATTAATCTGAAATCAATAGAAAAATAATATGATTGTGTAATAGTATTAAGTTTTTTTTCTACCAATTGAGACCTTCAGTGCCCTTATTCTGCCTGTGTGTTCCCTTCAGTGCTGTGCGTGATGTGGAAGAGAAGGAGGCGGAGTATGTCAAGTACCTCGAGGACTTCCTAGCCAACCCTGACCAGACGTACCTCGACTTCCCAGCGTCTCTAAACTCCCATGACAGGCTGGTTGTACACCAGGTACATGGCAGCTCCTTGTGTTAAAAAACTCGCTGAATTTTAAGTGATTATACCGTGTGACCTGGAAGTCATGCCCAGACCTGACAATGCCCTGTTAATGCAGACATTTGCTGATAACATGGTTCTTTGTAATGTCACCGCCTCTGTGGTCTAATGTTTAGAGCGTTGCTTATCAGATCATGAAAGTGACAGTCGGAATGTGATTTCTAATCATGCAACCTCGAAAACTATAACACAGGGTATTCATAACGATAGTTACGGGCTTAACGACTGAATCCACACAATCTAGACCACCTATTAGCCATTCCAGAGTGTTCTTTTGTTCAGGTTTCAAAGTTTTATTTGAGAGTTAGTCGCCAATTTGAAATTAGTGCCGTAAAGCACGAGAAAGCTGCCATCTGATTGGCTAATGTCGACCTCTTGTCAGTCATTCCATTGGTCAGTCAAAGTTTGCGCAAGGTCGGTCTGTCGTGACCCATAATGGGGTGTCCTCAGATGTTCGTTTAGCGGTCGTGAGAACTAAGATCTGATTTTAATGAGATTGATATAGTATATATTCATGTGTTCATATCATCTGCTCTTCAACTCTTACAGTTATCGGAGAAACTTGGCTTACTCCACAACAGTAAAGGAGAAGGGAAAGACAGGCACATTGTCGTATCCAAACCTGGAATTGAAGGTCAGGAGGTCAAGGTTGTGACCTCTGAGACAACAGGTCAAGGTCATAAACCTGATGTCAAGGTCAAAACTAAGCCAAATAGAAAGGAACAGAAGAATACACAAGATAAGGAAAACAAGCAGATTAATGACAGCAGTGTAATGCCTGATGGTATAGAGACAGATACACCCGAGGAGGTTCCTTGTGGGATTAATGGTGATCATGTTGAAAAGAAAAGGGATAAAGTAACTTGTGAAATATGTGGTAAGGAGGTCCTGAATGCAAACATCCAACTGCATTCTGTTCATTGTGCTAGACAGGTCAAGGCCAAACTAACTCAAGGTCAAGGCCAACCATCCAAAGATGAGGTCAAATCTAAGAAAAAGACAAAAAACACAAAACAGGATGCAGCTTTACACCGTACCGCATCTGCCCTAGAAAAAATTGATGACGATGATTTTGACAGTTTGATAGCAACCGTACAGAAACTTGACAATAGGTGCTGCTTTACAAAATGTAAACAGTTCACCACAACCCTGGGTCATACGTGTGACTTCTGTTTGAGAAGGTTCTGCCTGGCCCACCACATTCCAGAGATCCATGGATGCGGAGCGGATGCCAAGGTAGCGGCCAGGCAGGCCATGGTGAAGGAAGGAATCCTCTTTCGGGGGAATGTTGCACCACAGAGAAAACTGGACCCTAACAAGCGAGCTGGCCTGCAGAGAAAGCTGGACAAGAAACTGGACGACATGGCAGGAAAGCGTTCATCAAAGACGAGCAAGAAGTGATGTTTGGCAGATCGTATGGAGATATACTACTCAACATTTGGTAAGAACTTGACCTAAAACACGAGCTGGCCTGCAGAGAAAGTTGGACAAGAGTCTGGACGACATGGCAGGAAAGCAGTCATCAAAGGCAGGCAAGAAGTGATGTTAGGCAGATCCTATGGAGATAGAATACTCAAATTTGTTATTGACCAAAATAGTCATCTTTAGTCAAAGGTGTGGTCCTTAGCAAATGTTGAGTAGCATAAGTGTGAGTGAATGAAGAAGGAATGCATTTCAAAGTTTTTGTTCGTAACTTGACATCCAACAGCCATTAAACTTGTCATTACTATTAAGAATCAAGTTTTAATTGTCGTTAGTGTCCCATGAGAGAACAGTACCAGAAGCAATGATTGGCTGGTTACAACACTCGATGTGTCTACATTTGTTAGTCATTCAGATATGGAATGTAATCTGAATGTGTGGGTGTTGGGGTAGGCTAATGGCTAAGGCACTAGCTTGTCACACTGTACAGCTGGGATTGATTCCCTACATGGGTACAATGTATAAAACTCTTTGCGTGTGTTCCCTGCTGTGATATTACTGGAATATTTTTAAAGAGGCATAGAACCTGCTCATTAACTATTCTGAAACTATTTCTTAAAAATCTGATGTCTCAAGAAATTATCTTCTTACATTGAGAAACAATGGCAAAAACGTTCCCCTGTAACAAACCTTAACTTAAAAAATAAATGATAAAAGTTCAAACAGGCCCAAATTGTCCACAGACAGAATACCAACTTTTTTGCCAATTTGACTCATGTGCCAGTTACGCATTGGCTGGTCAAAGCCAAAAAAGCCATTGCTTGACCTACAGCACGTAAAAAAGGGGTCTCTTTTTTGTGATAGACTACTTAGAATGTAAAGAACCCTGAGACCCCAAGTGACCCTGACCGTTTGACCTTAGCATTTGAAATACCTTTGCACTTTTGTTATCTTTTACTATCTGGTTCAAATCAATGTGATTTTATTGTTGTTCTTTTAAATATTTATAAAATCAAATATTACAAGAGCATGCTAGTTGTAAGAGACGACTTAATGGATCTAGTGGCCAGGCTCTGTGACTTGGTTGATGGCGTGGATCATTGCGCATATCAATCACTGGGTTGTCTGGCCCAGACTGGAGTATTTTCAGGCTGTCGTCAAACAGGTGGAATATTGCTGAGTGCAATATTTTGCTGAGGGTTAAAGAAAAGCAAACACACATATACACACAAACACATGCACACATACCATGTTATTTTCTAATGTTCAATGCTGTGATAATAAACATGATTTGTCATTATTGATGTGTTTTCTGTTGATATTTAATCTTGGGAGGAGTCATGGACTGTGAGCTGATTACTCTTATAGCTGGTGTCATGATAGACATTCAGTGGATTTGATAACACTAGTATTCATAAATGGGGGAAATAAATAAAATGAAAAGTCATGAAATCTAGTAGACGTTTCTGGGTTCTTTGAGCCTACGAGGGTATCAATACACAATGCCATTTAGAAAGTTGTCAAATGTAACAAATGTTGGGATAACACTTTCTTAGTAAAGTACAGATTCTAGTACCTATTTGGGTTGAGTCCCATCGTGGATTCAAACCCACACTGCCAGAGTGGGGCACCTAATCGCCAGCACACAAAGTCCGCGATCTAAACCACTCAGCCACCGAGGCTGCCACAAAGTTTGAAAGTCCGACAACTGGTAGTCTGGATCACCTAGTTTGTGTACCAGGCTGACAAGTGTAAATTGGCAAGAAATTCAACTCCTGCTTGTAATGTATTAATTTTGACAAAACCATCGATCACAAACCATTGTAAACTCTTTTCAGTGAGAGAAAGGACATCCCTGTCAGATCAGATTCAAAGATGGGCTCTGATATTATCTGCCTGTGATTACTCTTTCACTTACACTCCTGGAAAGCAACTAGGACATGCTGACGCCATGAGGCACTCATCTCTGCCAGACTGCCCTACACTTGTGCCAAATCTTGATTGTTGCAGCTGTAAACATTCGTGATATTACACTACTTACAGACCCCACATTGTCGCAAGTGTGATGTTTCATCACCAATGGCAGGTCTGAAACAAGTGATCCATCTCTGCATTCTTACAAGCTTCGGAAAACCAGACTGTGTGTACATGGAGAATAAACCTTTGGGGATCTTGAGTTGTCATGCTCTTTCAGCGTCAGCAGAAGGTTCTCGACATCCTACATGACGGGCACCCTGGAAGGGTGAGAATGAAAATGTTTTCTAGGGTTTGTATCTGGTGGCCAAAGTTACACTCTGATATTTGAGGCCAAAGTTCAACAGTGCTCAGAATATCAGACTAATACGAAGGCTACACCTTCAGTATACATGCAGCCATGGATGTATCCACAGAGTCCATGGATCCAGGTAGACATCGACTATGCAGGTCCTTTACAGAACAAGATGTTCCTGATTGTGGTGGATGCTTCCTGTGGGTGGATGGGCGTACATGTCACTCACTCCCCATCTTTGCAAATAACCATTGAGAAGCTTGACAGGACATTCTCAACCCATGGCCTTCCTGTTACCATTGTTGCAGATAATGGCACATCATTCACGAGCAGTGAACTTAGCTTGTTCACAACCAAGAACAGAATTAAACATATATTGTCACCACCGTATTATCCAGGAGCTAAAGGGTTAAAGGAGTGGTCATAACAGACGTTCAATGGATGGTTCCTCAATTGAATCCAAGTGTCTCATTTTCTTTTCCGGTACAGATCCACTCCACATACGACGTCTGACAAATCATCAGCTGAACTTATGTTTTCAAGGAAGATGAGTGAGTGAGTGAGTTGGTTTTAACGCCGCTTTTAAAAATATTCCAGTTATATCGCGGCGTGTCAGCTTAATGTGGGAGGAAAGTCCGAAGTGATGCAGGTCTAAGACGTTTACCACTTCGGTAAAACCCACGAGCACGGGTATGGTGCTGACAAACCTAGAAACATAATTGGCGCGAACCGGGATTCGAACCCACAATCATAGGTTTCTGGCGTGCCCAAGGGACGCAACTCTGCACAGCGAATTGCGGCGCCTTAGACGACTGGACCACCCGTGCCCCCTCAAGGAAGATGAGAACTCATCTGGATCTGTACCATACTGACGAATCTCAGAAATAAGAAAAAACAGCAAAGACAGAAACTATAGCACCAAAGTCGCTCTGGAGCCCAGTCACTATGTGTGCACAACTGTCTAGATTATCAACTTCAGCAGATGACCTCGATGGATTCCAGGCCTTATAAACTCAATGACTGATTCACTTTGTGAGGTGAAGCTTAACGACGGATGCCTAATGCGTCGTCATCTTGTGACGTGAAAAGATGAGCTGAAAAAGAGCCTATGCAAACAACACTGGACATACCTCGTATATGTATGCCCGACAGAGACGTGTCATCTCACAGCTACAGCTCCCCATCAACACCAACTTCGACAAGTAAACCTGTTACTCCAAAGTCAACAGGTACAACGGCGGTTGACAAGCAGTCTCCTCCATCAAGTTCAACGCGAAATGCCAAGCCACTTTTGGGGCTTATCTCTATACTAATAATGTGCTGTCCTGAAGTTGCGAATATTAACTTCTTGTGAAACTGTGTGTCGTTCCAGTTTGAACTTCTCAGAGAATTAGGTTGTGTTATCTTTAAACGCGCAAAGATTAACACATTTTGAATATTTGTTTCCTAGGAATTAACTATAAAGCATGCCAGTTGCTGAGAGACTTTAATGTACTTTAGTATTCATTTATGCAATGAGAGTGCTTAAGTAATTATTTTATTCTGGGTTATTATTTAAAGTTGATATTCAGTAAGAAACTTAAAGGCATGGGGATGTGAAGTATCGTGTACAAACGGTGTAAAGATAATGCTCCCCGTCTAGGATGGTCAGTAGTGGCCGACGAATGTCAAGTATCGTGTACAAACGGTGTAAAGATAATGCTCCCCGTCTAGGATGGTCAGTAGTGGCCGACGAATGTCAAGTATCGTGTACAAACGGTGTAAAGATAATGCTCCCCGTCTAGGATGGTCAGTAGTGGCCGACGAATGTCAAGTATCGTGTACAAACGGTGTAAAGATAATGCTCCCCGTCTAGGATGGTCAGTACTGGCCGACGAATGTCAAGTATCGTGTACAAACGGTGTAAAGATAATGCTCCCCGTCTAGGATGGTCAGTAGTGGCCGACGAATGTGGGCCGGATTTCTGAACCTGCAATGAAACCCTACCCTATATTCATCCTGAGCCAGTCCACTTCAAAACACAACAGACCACATGCAATACCAATTAAAACCAGCCTTTTTTAATATGTTTGTCTGCATGATCCGTGGCTGGTCCAATGTTCGGGATGTGAAAGCCATCGATCGCACCTGCGCAGTTTGGAAAGCCCCATGTCTGCTCATATCCGCTGGTTTAAAATAATAGTGTTTAACTATTTCTGAGATTTCTATCTCTAAATTTTTTATTATTGAATCTGTCTGTCCAAATAAAGAAAGAATGGGGCTAGTGTGCATTTTATTGCCAAGGCAAATATGAAAACAGCCGTGACAAATTCACACATTACTATATAGCTATTAGGGCAAACTCGCCGTGTGAACAGTTTTGCACAAAAACGTATAATAAATTGTGTTTAGCAAATCTATAAAAATGTGTACATATCTCTCTCAATTTTTAATGTGCAGCGATATTCCATTGATGTAAGCAAAGGTCGTGTTCTACCCTTTTCCACCTCAGACGCCATGCATACATTTGCCTTTAAATGAGTCTATATCGTCCATTTCTCATGAACAGGACAGTGGGCTTGTCACAAAAAAGTCTCCTACTCACAGTTACGTTTGGCTTTGTTTGTTTGTTTTTTTTGCTGTTTCACGCGGCACTCAGCAACATTCCTGCTATATGACGGCGGTCTGTAAATAATCGAGTCTAGACCAGACATTCCAGTGATTGACATTATGAGCATCGATCAACTCGATTGGGATGATATGCATCAACCAAGTCAGCGGATCCCGTTAGTAGTCACTTCGGGCTTTCCTCCCACATTAAGCTGACACGCCGTGATATAACTGGAATACTGTTAAAAGCGGTGTTAAACCCAACTCACTCACTCACTCACTATTATATCTGTATGGACGCCGTTCTGTATCACACACTTCCAAACACGACGCTTGTGAAAGAGCCTTCTAGAGCTGTGGACGGTCTTCACTCGCCGTGTTATCCCCTCAGCGGTAAACTCCTCACATTGGACCACAACAGTCACTACTTCATCAAACCGACGGCGGAGTTGTTCAACAACGTCGCAGGCTCCAGCAACGTGTTCTCCTTCTCCCCCAACATCATCAGCGCCACTCGTGTCACCGTCGGCGTCGTAGCAGGGAAGATGGTGTCGTCAGACATGTAGGGAATCGAACCTGGGTCTTCGGCGTTACGAGCGAACGCTTTAACCACTTGGTTACCCCACCGCTCCTTCTGTGTGAATGCATAATGTCCCTGTGTATTATCACTAAGTACGTTTCGCCCAGATTCTGAACTATTTCAAATGCAATTGTGTGATATATCAATTCCAAAAAACCTTTCCTTCGATCAAACTAAAAATACGATGCAATAAACACATTTTACAAGACGAACTACAGTATTACTAGGACATGTCATTGATAACAGTTGATCATTTCTGTCAGTATTTCCATATCTTCGTGGGGTGGTTAAATCTAAAAGCGGCGTAAAACCATACTCACTCACACACTCCACATCGTCGTTCTCCTTTATCTGGTCAGTGACTACATAAAAAATGTAAAAGGCCTGTCACGCACTCACTCACTCACTCACTCACTCAAAGCGTAACTGGGTACCCGTGGTAAAAGAAGCGGTTGTACAATCCTAGAAGCGGCTGTACAATCCTAGAAGCGGCTGTACAATTCTAGAAGCGGCTGTGTAGTTCATAGAGCGGCTCATAAGCTGCATAATGGCGTTTTTGAGTACTGGAAACTTGATGACACCAGACAGTCTTAGGGACGAGCCATCTTTAGAAAGTGTTGGGCGTGAAGTTGCTGACCGTTGGGAAGGGGAACATTCCAGAAAGTATGTATATGTTTTACGACCGTCCCAAAAAGGTCCTCCATTTTAATACAGACACCAACTTGATACATAAATACAAATGGCAATTTACATGTCTCGCTTACTTTTTAAATGTGAAAATGTTGCCAAACTGACAACCTATAGACAGACAGATTCCTTTATCCGTACAAGCCACGAGTAGCCTCAAGGCCAGTACACATTA